AACTCCTGGGGTTATTTTGGTGCTGGTGGTGACTGCTGTCTGTCCAGGAGCTGAGCAGCCCACATCTCCTTGAAGCTGGTAGATGTTGCTGGTATTTAGCACCTCCGAGAATCGTGCCTTTCCTATTGAGGTGTCAGCATAAATATGTTTATTTAGATTACTTAAATAAATATGTGTTTAGGAGCCTAAGTCTAGGTGCTCAGATCTGAGGCCAAAGGTAATTACATTTTACTGTGTTCTCCGAAAAAGCCTTTTACTGCATGTGTGAGGCTTGCACATCTACACTTCAATCCATATATTTGGAAAGACGCGGGATGATGTATTTGCATCACATGTGGGTGATGAAATACTTTCCAGCCCGTTAGTAACCAAGAGGATATTAAACAACATCTCTTAGCAGTGAACGCTTTAAAATTAACAGGTCTGGTTCACATGCACCCAAGAGTCTTAAAAGAATTGGCTTTTGCTTACTGAAATTAATTTCCAGTAATTCTCTTTGCTAAAGAAATTGCAGGAGAACAGATGAATTGTTGGGTTTGTGCTAGTTTTCTGAAAAAGCATGATTTGGGTAAATGAAATCCAGGTATCCTGACACCAGCTGAAGGGAAGATAGGGGCACTGATAATTAAAAGGCTGTTAAAGTTAGATGCGTGCACGTAATATGTTTGAACGCTTAATTTAATAGCATTTAATACAACGTTCCAATGACCAGGGCAGAGCAGTGGGACCCGGGTCGTGCGATACCCCAGGCTCCCGAGCATGTGGGAGCTCGCCGAGGCAGGTGGACCACGGGATGCTTGCAGGATGGAGAACCGGTGCTTTGCAAACCGGGAGCTCTGGAAAAGGTCAAGGCCAAACGGCACGTCTTGGTGCCCACTGTGGTGCAACACCCCAGCGAAAGGGGTGACCTCAGGAGAGCGGCAAGCACGTGCCCCCGTTGGTATCGCCGTCGGGGTGGTAGGTTTTGCAGGAAACACGCCTGCCGGGGGGGAGGTCTGATGGTGGGGCTGGGCAAACACCTTCCAGTGAGAACTTAAAAGTGCAAACCGTTTAGCTTATCTAGAGGATTGACAAGTGACTTGATTGCAGTGTGTAAATATCTTTGTGGGAAACATACTGGTTACGAAGGGACCTTTTACTGCTTTGGAGAAAATCGCTGGTTCTTTTTATGTCCTTACAATGCAGTCAGATAAAATCCACTTAGAACCAAGACCCGCATTTTGTAAAGGCGATAAACTCCTGAAACAGCCTGCTGAGGAAAGGGGCGACTTTTCAGACTGCGCAGACCACAGAAATCCTCATGGGAGGTACATCTGAACAAACGTGGGGCACCGGGCTGCGCACGGAGGGGGCTGTCTTAGTCCAGGTGATTCAATGATTTCTTCTGGTTTTAAACTTTCTGAAACTGTTGGTTTGAAGATACTGAAGGAAATTTTGTCCCTGGTTGGAGTGGCATCAAGCCCTTGAAAGAAGAAGGTGATGGGGAGTTTGGGAGGTGGCTGGGCTGCCAGGGATTGAAGTCGCCCGTCCCCGGGATGAAGGACCCTTTGCGATGGACAAGGGTGGTGGCATCACCCAGACCCAGGGGTGTCTCGTAGATCCCAGGAGAGCTGTGCTGGGTTCCTGCTTCAGAGGGGTTTGTTTCCGTGCTAAGTCATCTGTGGTTGAAAAACAGATCCATTGTGAGTCGATGGAAAATAGATTATGCGAAATTGAATAAACATCGTTTCTTGGCCCGGGTACAAATGAGCCTGCACCGCTGTGCCAAAGCTGCTGCCAGAGGGGACGAGGCAAGGCGTGCTTGTCAGGAGGGGGAGAGCGTTGTGTCTGCTCTCTTCCACGGCCTTTATCAGCCATGGTCCCTCTCCAGCAGCACGAGGGCTTTGCCAAACCCGCTGGCCAGCGGTGCGGTTGGAGAAGCATCTGTGGGAAAGCCCAGGCGTGAGCGGCCGGGGAGGGCGCGCGGCCCCGCTCGCACACCGCCTCTGCGGCACCTGGCTTTGGAAATCTGGCCTTATATGGGGCCCTGAGCAAAACAGCGAAAAGGGGATGGGTGCCAAAACCGGAGCGATAACATCTTAAAGAAGAACGCTCCCCCTTCAGGCCCAGGGAGGAAGGAGATGGGCTTCCCTGCCCTTGGTTTTGTTGGTTTGGGTTTTTTTCTTTTTCAGCTCAGTACCTTATAAAGTCACGCGTGACCCTGGGGCAGCGCCGTGGTGAGGGATGCTTGGCACAAGGATGCGTTTGGCACTTGCTGGGGGGGCCGTTTTGCAGCAGCCCCCCCTGTCCGTAGGCTGCCGCAGCTCATGCCTGCGTCTCCTGATGCAAGCAAATGAAGTATGTCCTTAAAGAGCAACAAGCTACGGCTTTATTCCTACTAAAAAAAAAAATCCCATCTGCATAGCGGCCGAAGGGCTGGAGCAGCCTGGGCTCTGCGAGCTGCTTGCTGGATTGCGCAGCTGGATGCACCGCTTTGCGCAGTGCATCCCGTTGCCTTACCCAGCTGTGAGCTGAAGTGGGGCGTGTGGGTCCTGCGTGTCCAGGGACGTGTCCTCCAGCTCCTCCCGGGGCTGTGCTGGCAAGTCTGTCTGCAGTGACAGCGCGTTCGGCCGCATGCAACCTCAAGGCATCCTCAAGCTGTACATTAGCATAACTACTAAGAGAGCAATCATTTTAATTGCCCGATGCCACAACTGTTTGGGATAACCGGCAACGGTGGCACTGGTCACACTCCTGCATGCTTTTTTGACTCCTACCTTCCACTGGGAGTGTCCTGGGGCATCTGCAAAGCTATGCTCGCGGTCTCTCATCAGAGGGAGTGAGAGTCATTTTCCGTATTTCCCACCATGATAAACCCACAGCCGCAATGCGAGCAGCTCACCTTGAAATGCTCCTGCTTGCACTCACCGTGCCAGCAAACTCGCTTGCTCCTGTCACTCCGACTGTGCTACCGTGCATGATTGCCTGCATCAAATACCGTCCCTTACTCCTCCCTCTGAGTTTAGGCACTGTGCTAGCTATAGCATATTGCAGCAGCCATGTTTGAATGTATAGCCTCCAGAGCTAAGGCAGGCAGCATTGGGGAGCTGGGCTTTTCTGCATGCTGGTAACGAGACATCATTTGCATCACGCCTCTCATCTAGGAGAAACGCCGAGCAATACGCTCCATTGCAAGCCAGTGGCTGTGATGGGAAGCCCACTGATAAGCAAAGTGTCTTTGGTGGAAAACCACAGTCTTGGGGTGGAAAAGAAAGGGATGTGAAATAATAAATGTTTTTAAATTTAACCCATAAATGCAGAAGGCTTAGCAGAAATGTGATCCCATGTCCCAGATCAAAAGCCTGTTATCAAGTCACCGCTGGTCAGTGATGAGTTAAAGGCTTTCCACAGTGCTTCTTGCAGGTTTACATGGGATGATGCCAAGATGAAACAGCTCCTGGGTTCTTGGTGCTGTTGCTAGCATCTGAGTTTATTAAACATGAATTTTAAATCTGTGAGGAACCTGTCACCATTTCCTATTTGCACTTCACTCTTCTTGGAAAGGGAGAGGAGACAGGCTTGTTTCTTAAAGCTGGACTGCTTAGTGTTTTATAGCCTTGGTCTCTCTTTCTGATTTTCCAGCACCAACTATGTTTAGGTTTCCAGCACTGCAATGTTTAAAACTAAAACATACTGTTTTCCCTGAAACAATACTGGGTTTTGTAACTTTCTTTTTAAACAAATCTGAAATGGTTTTGGCACAGACGCCTTGCCAGCCTCCTTCTAAACAAACCCCGAGACGGGAATATAAGTGCACGCCTGCGAGAGGCACCACGAAAGCATTTGGAAATGGTGGGGCTTTGCTTCTCATCCTTCTGCTGCCTTTTGTGCCTGAGCCCATCCTGTCTCCAAGCCCTTCGAGGGGGTCAATTCAGAGGAGAGGAAGGAAAACACCATGAATTTTAAGTGGCGTGAGCCCGGGTTCACTCAGCAAGCCTCCAAATTGGCACGGGCAGAGCAGTGTCTGTGCGACGTTCAGTGATGGCCACGCGCTTTTTGCACAGCTGCTTTCAAGTCTGCTCCGGGGAAGCCACGCTGCCCCAGGGAGCAGATGTTGCGGGGGGAAAACAGGATCTGAATTTTCTTTGCCTTCCTCTGCCTCGCCAGCGAGCACCGGGGCTACAGCTGAGCCCGGCGAAGGCCCTGCTGCCTTTGGCTTCGCCTCCGCGTGGGCAACGCAAGGCGGGTGCGAAGGGGAGGCGGGGGCTCGGCTGGCATCCCCGCACCCTGCCGTGCCGGTTTTTCTCCTCCACCTCTTGTTCTCTCTCAGCGAACCGTGGCGGGGAACGGGCTCCCAGAGCTGGGCAGAGGCACATGGCAGGCAAGAAAGAGCTTTTTTGGCTCCTGCTTCTTTCCAGGGGCACAGGGACAGGCGAGCACTGCTCCCAGCACCTCTCCCAGCACCGCTGCAGCCCCAAGGATGGTGGGGTGCTGCTGGCTCTGCTGCACGGGGTTGGCCTCGGCGCAGATCCTGCTCTAACCTCTGCGCATCCATATGTGCCTAGGGCACAGCGGTCATGCAGGGGCTGGGTTTCCCAATGCCTGTGAAGGAGGAAAAGGAAGGCAGACAGATTTTTGCCCTTGTAGAGCTCGGTCTGGACACAACACAAAGTGATTGGTGCAGCACAGACCTTTGAATGTCAAAGACTAGAAAGTCATTAAATACCCCGTTGCATCTCCCCCCACATTAATGATCCTGCCTTATCCCCACTAATGAATACGTCCCATTATTCCCCACCCTGGTTTTCCCT